TTCCAGTACACAGACTGTTTTCCTGGTACCTCTGTACTTTAACCCCTTCCCACAGCTTCCAGGCTCTCCACCTTGACAGCCAGGCAGGAGTGCTCCAGGTGCCCAGGCTTGGCACAGGTAAAGTGCCCTGAGAAAGCACAGCACAGCTCAGTGCCTGCTCCAACATGTTTCCTGGCTGGCCTTTGCCTTCCCCCCAGCTCTGCTCGGTGGGAAAGGCATAAGCTGATGTTCACAGAGGCCTCCAGGCTGGTACTCCCAGGGCAGACAAAGGCTGATACCAGTTTCGTGGGAGACCAAACTGGAGCCAGCATCTGGATCCTGCTGCAAGCAGCACCAAACCCCAAGTGACTGGGGCTGGGTCATTACCAAGCTGCTTAGACAAACATTATAATGTGGTCTATGCTTAACAATCAGTATAGCTGTTGATAATGAGCTGGAGAAATTGCCCCGTTCAGAGTCCGAAGCCAGGGAGACCACTGGACTTCCCATAGATCCTGATGTGTCACAGGCCCTGTATGGATACTCGTTATGAAGCCAAAGGAACACCTCCCTGCTGGCAGTCACCTCCCCAGACACAGAGCTGCTTATTCACCCACAGAAGCCACCCCTGCTTCCCCCACCATTCACAGCTGTGTCCTCTTGACATCTCCTGCACAGCTGGCAGCTCCAGGACACTCCAGGGCATGCTGTCCATCACACAGCAGCTGGCTGTGATTCCATGAGGCAGCATAGCACCTCCAATATCCTGCAGAAAGGAGCTCTACAGATCACCACACTCTGTTTTGAACACCCTTCTCACCAACTTTGATGTCCCCCCAGTTCCCTCGTTCCCCAGTACAAACTTCTGTTTTGTATGGCTCGTGGCTTCATGAACCACACCATGACCCCCTTCAGCCAGCCCCCTCCCACACTGGAGGGCCCCAGTCAGCCAGGCTTATCCCACACAGAAGCCACTGCCCTCTCTAAACCTCTTTCATTTTTTACCAAGAGACCATGTTGATGTGCCATAAATTTTGGCAATATATAATGATCAATTCCACTCTGTTCTCCTTCCTCATAGCTCTGCATCTTTATTTAGTCACACAGAAACTTACCCCTTCTCCCACTGCCTCTTAGTTCCCCTACAAGCCTCCTATGAACAGCCTTACCAAATTCACCAGCAGAACAAGCTCCTGAGTTTTCAGGCAGCAAGTACCCAGATACATCTTCAGCTCCTGGAAGATGCAGCATGAGGGCTAACCTCACAACCTGCAGAGCCCAGGGGTCCTCTGCAGCCAGTGTTCATCTTCCCAGCCTTCACCACAGCTTCTGCCTTCAGACTGGCCTGGACAGTGAGAGAGAAACCCTGAGAAATCCCCCACATGCTGCCAGGGGCGGGGAGATCACCAGGCCCAGAGATGCTGCTGCTCCCCATGAAGACAGCCAGCTGTTTGTACCAGCCAGGAAACTCTGCTACCTCAAATTTATGAAATACAATCTTCAGCCAAGTTCTGCTAAATACCCTACTCCGTGTGAAGCATGGTACCATGAGCCAGGTTTCAGAATCTCCCCTGAGCTAAGGGACACCAATCCTTTGTCTAAGTTGGCAGAGATAAGCCACAAAGCTGCTTCTGTGTCATGTCTCTTTTTCCCTCTGCTCTTTATTCTCCCACAGGCCATCCTGCTGCAGCACTATCAGCAACACCAATGGAGTTGAACACCAAATTGCAGTTTTCAAAGCTCTACCCAAGCTGCTGGATGCTTCTGGCTCTCCCTTGGCCCACCACCTCCTGAGGAAATAAAAAATTTGTTAAACAAATTTTTCCTGAAAACTACCTGACTTGGGCCAAGAATGGGTGCCAAGAATTCCCTGGGGAGCTCCCAGCTTTCCCAGGCTGCCCTTCTGTCACCTCAACTCCTCCTCCGCTCACTTGTGATACCAAGAGTCTGTCCCCAGATCTGGCCTGCCAGACAGACCTGCTCAGGCATTACTCTTTCATGTACCCATAGAAGGGTGATAAAAAGCTTGCTGGGCCCCCTGAAGTTACACACAACTAAAATTATAAGTGATAGAGGGATCAAAGCCAGTCAGGAAGGAAGAGGTCCCCTCTGGATGGGCATACTGAAAAGTCAGGTGAAAGGGTATGGGTCCTTGTTCTCCCTCCTCCTCTTTGTACTGCTCTGCAAGTCTCAAGACCATTTCATGCTGGCATTGTCCTCATCCTGGCAGCTTCTTCTAAGCCTGAACCTGCTTGTCCTCTCTGCATAACTTTCCCATCACTTCTTCCTTGCAGAACCATTCTGATGGATCAAGCTCCGCTCCAGCTCCCCAGGCCTGGCCACACCACATTAAAACGGGATTTATGAGCCTCAAGCACAGACAAGAGTTATGCAGTCTGCACTTCTGCGTGCTGCATACCAACTCCCCAGCTGGTTTAAATCAGATTAACTCCACTGATGTAAGACATTTAAGGCAAGAGTGTTCCGTGATTTACACCAGCTAAGAAGCTGTTATATTATAACTTGGCAGCTGCAGGTTTTAGATCTGAAGTTTTTTGGGCAAAGGTCCCAAGCAACAGTAAACGACAGAGCAGCTGAGTAGCAAATCCCATTACCCTCTGTGCAATGCGCCTGCAGCCAGCACATGTCCCACAAAAGTCCCTTAAAAAATATAAATAACCTGGTGTTCACTTTTCAGTGCCACCAGTTTGCAAAGTCAATGCCCCATCACAATAGGTTCCAAACAAATCACGATACTGTGGAAATGCCTCTCTTCAAAAAATGATATATTTGGTAAACTCAAGCCAGCCAATTTTAGTACAAAGGTTGCTTGCTACTGAAAAAAAACCCCTATAGATTAATGCAAATGCAAATGAACACACCAGAGGGTTTAATATTCAGATATGGGCTTTCATTTCTGCTAGAGGATGCTCAAGCTTCCAATCAAATCTACATTCCACAAAAAAGTGGTGTGAATAATATGGAGTCAGATGTGCTTGGAGAGGTGCACAAAAAGACAATACTCAGGGCAGAACACAGCATTCAAGGCAGAAGAAATGGCACAGAAATGCACCAGGAAAAATGGTAGTGCTGCCTAAAAAAGAAGCTTGGTCCTTTCTCCTGCAGCTTAGCAAGGTGGCTTCTTCAGACCAGTAGAGATACCAGCTCATCAGAGGCAGCAGGGCAGCAAGAGCCCAGTACCATTCCCACATCACCTGCAAGCCAGTGAGTGGGCAGCAGAGCTGCAGCCTTTCCTGATGCCTCTCCTTCAGTCTAGGCTGCACAGGGAGGGGGTGGTGAGCCCTGCCAGCCCCATAAATCACCAGGCACCCAACACAGTAAACTTGACCTCCCTTGCAAGGGAAATATAAATCAAATTTACTAGCAGCTTCTGAAACAAAAACTAAACTCATGAAACTGTAAAAATGCCTCTTTAAACATCCTGTGCCCCAACAGACCATGGAAAGCCCTGTCAGGTTGAGGGAGAGCAAACAAGCTTTCCAAGAGATGAGATGCCTCATGGGTTGATGAACTGAGAAAAGGCATTTCAGACCAAACAGCTTGCTGGCAGGCAGCACGACAGGGATATCTTTAGCACACAGTAAAGACAGAGCAGGGAATCAGAAGGAGTGAATTAGCCAGCATTAATACCATCATTTGTATGCAGTGTACTTCAAAGCATTCAGTGCAGACAGCACCAGACACACACCAAATTACCCAAGTCTGAGGGAGAGCCAAGTAGAACACATTTGCTGGAGCCCACAGAGTAATGATCAGTGAGCTCGGATGGGACCCTCAGGGCTACCACTGCCCCACTGTTTAAGGAGCCAGTGTGGGAAGGCCATGCCAGGAGGACAGGGGCAAGTCCACAAAGGACAGAGGAAGGTTCATGAAGCAGAGCAGACGTAGGAGTTCCTGAGTAGAGCCAAACTGGGACAGGACTCAGCAGGGGCACAGGGGAAGTATATCTGCTCACATCTCAGGGTGAGTGCACCTGAGACTTGTGGTAGGAAGTCTGCAGGGAGTATTAGAGCTGGGCAGATGCTCCAGATGCCAAGGAAGCTGCTGGTGCCAGTGGTGCTAGCCCTGGGAACACGCACACATGTGGGAACAGGCCACTACTGCATGACATCCACAGCTTTGAGAGGCTGGTCAGCGCCTCCTGGGGCAGGTGTATGGCCAGGTGGGGTGCCGGGTCTCCTTGCCACCACTGCCACCTGCAGCCTGCCATGCCTAGGGAGACATGTGACCAGCCCAGGAAGGGATGCTGCCATCACTGGTATGTCAGGCCAGTGAGGCACCTGACAGGGAGAGCCCAGGGACCAGCACAGGGAATGGACAAGTATGGCTGCAGGAGCTCCAGTGAAGGGGTTTGGAGCCCAAGGACACAAAACCCTACTTGTGCAACCAAAGACTAGACAGCATGCTGGTACCGTGAGCGGCAACTGCACACAGCCAGGGGAGGAAAACGGCACCAGCTGAGACAAGCCCCTTCTGCCAGCTGCCTTGTTTTCCTGCAGAATTCTTGCTGTTTCTGCACTTGGTAACAGCAGAGGTACAATAAGGGAACTTAAATGATCAGCGGTTGCTAATCAGTAAAGCTTTCCAAAAGCTCCCTAAAGCCAAGAGGAAAGACTCAATAACTACTCTGCTGATGCTCAAGAGTGCAGAGCTACACCACAGACACACAGCACCTCTTTCAGCTGGCACCCCAAGGAGAAGGGGGCTGTAAACACAAACAGAACAGGCCTGCTTGCTCCTGTCTCACATCTCTTATCATCTCAAGGCATAAAGGCAGGGCCAGCTGCCATGTGACAAGGAGAACCTCATGTCACACATGCCAGCAGAGACCTGGATGTGGTCTTGGACTGATGAGTCCATCACTCTGCAGGAAGGAGCAGAATTCTAGGACTCCATCCCAAAAGTTTATTAACTTTGTATTTCAAATAGCACTGGATAACATCTCTGTGCAGAAGAAAAAGAGAGCCTGTGTTGTTACAGGCAGAACAGCAGAGACCTACCTTTGGGCATGATGCGATGCATTGCAACTGACAGGAAGAAGATGGAGTCGCTGTAGTAGGTCCCCGATCCAGCGCTGAAGTGTTTCTGCATGGCCTCAACGATGGGAAACAGCTTTTCTGTCAGCTCATTCACATCATGGACTATTACCTGGCAGAGACACCAGAAACACCACTCAGCTGCCGCTTCTGGGGACAGGCCCAGCTCCAGCAGCCTTTGCTCAGCCCCCACCAGCACAGGGTGATGGGGGGAGGTGGGTAAAGCACAAACAGTGCTGGTGGCACTGCAGCTGCACAACAGGGCCTGGCTGCCCTGGCCCCTGCACATCCTCTTGACACAAGAACTGGTCAAGTGCTTGAGGACTTTTACAGCCATTTTGTAACTGTAAGGTGGGCAGGGACTTGAATCCACGTCACATTACCAAGTGTGTCCCATGTTTTGGGCTATTTCTTTGGTCTGTTCCTACTGCCTGATGCAAGCACATATCTGGTCTCCCATATGGAGTCCATCAGAAAAGGCAAGAGTTTGCTCCAGGCTCTGGTATCCTGCTTTAGACCCAAGCCAGACCACGTCACTTACCCTGAGGACCAAGGCTTGCTCCCTGCTACAGAGGCAGGCTGTGACAGGGCCAGGGATGCAGCCTGGATTTCCTGCTCCTCAGCCCAGCATGGAGGCAAGCTCTGCAGCACATCCCAGCGGGGCTGCAGGGGGAAAGGGAGGACAGGCCACAGCATGCTGATGAAAATCTAAACATTAGGAGCCACAGCAGAGCTGAGCAACTTCTGTAGATGGATCTCAGCCTGCCTGTGCTGGTGCTTTGCTGGTGCTCAGCCAGCACTGCTCTGCATCCCTCAACCCTGTGGGAGCCCATGCACCAGTACAAGCCCTGGCATGCCAGCTGTGGCTATGTCCCAGAAACAGAAGCAACCCCAAATGCACCTTGCCAGCTACTGAAATTTTACAAGCTTATAATTTATTTTGGTCAAAGTCCAATGAACAGGAACTTTCATGCAGCTCGTTGTACCCACAGAAGGATACAGGTCATTGAATCACACAAGATAATGAGAGGGATTTTCAGGATAATTAAGAGAGATGAGGGACATGACCCTGGTGCAGATAAGGGGGAGCGCAGGAACTTGAGTGTGGAGACTCGAGGTCGTGCTGCCTTCTTCAGGTCAGGGAAAGCAGGAAAAGCCCTGCTGGAACTAAAGTCCAGCAAGGACATGACATTGCAGCAGTATTTGAATTTTGGTTAGGGGAACCTATTGCCCTTGTTTGAGGGGTACCAAGACACTTCCAGAAGCTGGCCTCGCCTTCACCAGGGAACACAAGCCACAATCTTTGTAAGCTGCTTTCAAACTAAACTGTTTCAACAGTTCTACAGTTTCACTTCTTTTCCCTACTAAAACTTCATCTGCTTAAGAACAAGGGGCCGTGCATTATATACTTAAAACATGTAGGGTCGAGTACTTCCTTTTTTATTATTTTTTTTTAATGAAAAGAAAACCTAAACCAAGCCAAATGTTTCAGAGGAGAAGGTGGCTCTAGAGCCTGTGCTGGTGCAATGACCACCCTCTCTGTGAGACGCACAAGGGGCTGCACTGATTCTCAGCAAGGCTGGTGTAGAGATCAAGGCAGTGAGCAGTCTGGAACTTCTTCCTTCCACAGCTTTTTGCAGAACACATTGCTCAGACCAAACACGGTCTCACAGCAGAGTGGAGCTCACCGGATGCCGGGTTGTGCTCGTGGCACCCAAATGAGGTGAGGTGGCGAGGTGATGGGTCTGTCCTGGTGCTGGCCAGGATAGCTGAGCCCACAGCACGGCACAGCTACAGGACAGGCACAGCCTCGACCCTATGGCCCTGTCCTGGGGAGGGCAGCCTAAATGCTCACGCTTGGCCCCTGCTCCTTGCCATCAGCCAGGTGCTGTAGGAGCCCTCGAGCAGGCTTTGTGGCCAGCACGTCCCTCGGCGAGGCGGCCCTGCTGCTGCTGTCCTGGCTGCTGGGCTCGGAGCCAAGGCCTGCAGCAGAACAGCAGGAAAAACACAGAACAACATGTACCAGGAAAGTGCATTAGGAGAGCTCATCAGCAGCCACACCTGGCTTTGGATAGCACAGCATGGTCCCCAGGACACTGCAGGCAGGGAAACTGTTACCGTTAGGCAGCACCTCACCCCAGCCCTGCTGAGCTGCATGAATGCCCAGGATGGCAGGAGCAGCTTTGGGGTCTGGCTGGACTGGAGAAGCATGGAAAAGAAGTACAGCACCTGTAACCATCCTTTTCTGCATCCAGCAAAGATAGCCTGAGGTCTGTACAGTACGTAGGAAAGGGGGAAAAATGTCAAACCAATTCCAGACACCTCTGAAGTGAGCACACTGCCAAGCACCAGTGGACAAAAGTTATAGAAGTACTCCTGACACAGTATCATTTGCCTTTCCAGTCCTGCCAAAGAAAACATGATAACATGTCTTTTGCCCACTCTTTTGTACTCCTGCAAAGCAAACTCCTGAGCAGCTGAATTTTGCTCCTGCAGCCACAGGCCAGGCAGCCTCTCTGGGACTGTGAAGGCTTCTTCCCTTCTCATTGCTGACTTTAGCACAGCTTGTTGATCTGCTGCTAATTTTGTACTTCATTATTTATTTGTGTAACAGCTCTTAGTAAATCCCTGTAGCTAAATCCGACCACTGAGGACATTAAGAAAAGTTTTAGGGGTTTCCTGTGCAAGCACAGTTTTATAAATACACGTCCCACACTGAATAAAGATAATTTCTACTGATTCACTAGGAAAAAAGAACCTGCATTTCTCTTCCCTTTAACTTTCCCTCCTTCCCACGTCGGTCATCCTCACGTGTCTCTGTAAGCATGGCGTGATGGCAGCACAGTTACATCCAGCCCAGCAGCATCCTTCGCGGGGCTCATCTGAACAGGAAACCAGGATGAGCAGAGAGCCAAACGCGTAGTTCGTGTAATTATGTCAGGGAAATGGAATCAGTAAGAGATAGGAATCGCACAAGGACTCGCAGCACACAGCCTGGAGCGGCAGGAGATGGGGTGAGCCGGTGCTCTGTGCAGTGCCGGCCGAGGCTGGCCCAGGCTCGCTGCCGGGCACCTCCCGCTGGCCGGGGGTCGGGAGAGGTCACAAAGCCCCGGTAAGAGCGCACCGAGGCCCCGCTCGGGCAGGACGGCCGCGGGCTGGCTCCTCCCCGCGCCTCCGGGCCGCACACGCGGAGCACGGGCTCCCTCTGCCGCCGCCGCCCGGCTGCACATCTGGGACACATCTGCACCGCCAGCGGTAACGCCCGGACAGCCCTGCCCTGTCCTGCCGGGAGGGTCCAGTGCCTAAGCTGCTCCCAGACACACACCGCCTGCTCCCCACAGCCCCTCTGCCCGCACCCTGTACACTGCTCCCGAGCTGCAGGCAGCTGCTTCAGGCTCCAGGAGACCTTCAAAGTTACTGGATCTGCCTAGGGAAGAGAGAAAAGCTGCCCACAACCTGCCCCCACAAAGGTTATGAACCAAGTCTGACTCTGGGCTTCACTGTAACAGAGGAGCCGACTGATCCCAGTTTTGCTAGGATGGGAGGGCAAGGGCAGCTCCAAAAGCAGAGCCTGAACCACTTCCTCATGAAGAAAAGGCAGAAGTTCAGAGGGTTTTATTAGTCCTGCCTCAGTGGCTCCAGCTTCATCCTGAGCACTTTATCAAGCCTTTTATCTGGGCCTGTGCTAGGAAAACAGCATTAGAACCAGGAGAGTGTTCTGCACACACCAAGAGGAGCAGAAAACAAGACATCTCAGGATAGAGATGGGTTACTGCTGGAGCTACCTGAGCATCAGGATCAATCATCAACATTTTAGCAGGAGCACCAGAAATCCAAGCTAGGCATAAGTCTCCCACTAGTAAAGAAGAGGAATGGGGCAGGCTACAAGAATAAAAGGTGCTGTCACCTGCTAGCATTCCAGAAACTGGCACAGGATTAAGACAAAGCTGCATGCTTGGGAAGTAGAACAGCCTCTACTCCATACCTAATAGCAGAGAAATGGACTGGTCCAAAACATACTGGCAACCATAGGCTAGCCAGTGAAACCAAGGTACATCAGGCTCTGCCAGGAAATAGAGAAGCAGCTGTCCCACTGAGCAGATCTCAGTGAGATCTCACCTGAGGCCTCCAGATCATCCTGCCTGCTTACACCCAGGAGACCAGTTCTGGTGCCAGACATACTCACCATGAGCCAGGTTTTGCTGTGACTCCACAAGCACCTACAGACAGGAGCCCATCCACAGCAGAAAAATCACCTCATGCCTCCAACTCCCAGCCCAAGTTGCTCTGGAGAAATGAGGCTGGCAAGGCTGCCTGCAGAATTTGCTTCCCACAGGGGCAGATGGCAGTAAGGCAGTCACCCACACAAAGGGGATGTGGTGCAAGGGATGTGCACACCATGGTAGCCTGGGGTCCTCCCTCTCCAGGGGACATAATACCACAAACCTGGGTTGGGCTGTTGCACCACATCACCAGTGCACCATCATGGGGCAGTCAGTCCCTGCTGTGAAGTGCAGGAATGCTCCTGAGGGAGCTGTGCACACCCTCCAAACAGCCAAGCACTGCAGTGTGGTGTGGGTCTCCCAGCACGGGTACATGACCTGACTGAGGGCCAGCACTAGGAAAGGACTTGTTTAAGGAAAACGAGCAGTAGAATTATTTACCAGAAAGTGTCCGTATGAAAAATTTTAAGGTTACACTTCTAGTTACATCTTGGCAGAGTTCAGCTAATATGAAAAACAGGACTTATGAGAAATAAAAGAAATAACAGAAGGACTAGAGAACACTTCCAAGTAATGCTCTGCAGCAGCACTTCAGGACAGGAGAGTCAGGTTACCTGGAATCTCTGAACTTAACACCCCTCCAGTTTTCAGATACCTGTTTAATGTGAAGGAAAGCCTGACTTTGTATAAACTACACTGGCTGTGGATTTGGGAGGCAGAACTATTTCCCTGGCAGTAGGAACATTCACATGTGGATGCACTCCAGCCCCTGCAGGCTCTCCATTCCCATTCTCAAGAGCCACTAGCAGGAGGCCAACCTTGTCTCCTGATCGGGAAACCATCGAGATACAAGCACACGTGGTCCTCGTGTCGAGATGTTGAAGCAGGACTAACAGGGGCTGCAGGAGAGCAGCACTGCTTACAGCAACTGCTCCTCTCCAGCACAGGTGGCGTGCCGGAGGTGTTCCCAGGCCACGCTGCTGCCCACTCCCAGCTGAGAATCACGGGGTGCATCAGGACACCTCCCCGCAGGCAGCAAACAGCGGGGACACAGAACAAGCCCATCAAGACACCCGAGCCTGGGGAGCGGTGGGAGCTTCTGCAGCAGAGCGGCGCACGGGCCGTTCGCTGGCTGAGGGAGTTCCTTCCCGCTGGACTGTTCTGGCTGTTCCCGAGTCCCGCGGGCAGAGCGCACAGGCCATCCCGGCAGAGCCCCCGCTCGC